CTGCGTTAGTAGCACCTGAGTCATGCATGAAGTAGAGCTATCTCGTAATTACTTATTAATGCCTTTGCATAAAATTATTCGATATGATATTTTGGTGCGAGATAAGCCAAAAAATTGTTCATAGCTTCTAAGGGCGCTTGCAAAATACAAATGAAACAAAATTATAAGCATAAAGGATATTCCACTTGGGCCATCAGACCATCACGATATTTCAAGCAATGCACATTATTTATAAAGTTTCAAGAAGTGCGTATGTCGCGATAAATGGGGACCCAACAAGGTAACTATTCCAAAAGTTCACCTTAATTTGAATAAAACATTATTTCCAATAAGAAAGTATTAAGAGCATCATTACTCATAGATGATGACAACAAAGACTAGGGCAAAGTCTACAATCAAATCTAAAAAAAAAGTATTTGTTGCAAGGAATTTCAACCCAAGACCACTAGCAAATAACCTAAACGAGTATGACCTTTCTTTTTTGTTCTATGTAGTAACTGTAACCCCTGTAGTATCCATGGCTAGCACGTGGTGTTTTTTGATTAGTGGAAGAGAGCTCGCACCATGGCGTTCTTTGGAGTTTCTCTATCTTAAGAAAAGACGAAATCCCAAAAGAGTAAGCCAAGAATGAGAGGCACATTCAAACCTGTAAGATTAACCTCCTTAGAAAGGATCTTCTTTTGATGATGTCTATGAAACTTCCAAAGAGATATACCAACCTTTCAAATATAAAACATATAATCCATCAAGAAAAGCTATGTAGCTTCCTAACAACAGAGGCATCATTCATCAACATTCTCTTTGAGGTCATATTTCTATTCATTATCAGATGTATCTTCATATTTGTTTTCTATTCCTGAATAGCAGTGTAAAAATCCATACAATAAAAGATATCTGCTATTCTTGACTTCCAAAAAATCCAATTATCCTATTGAGGAAAAACATTGCACTAGCGTTCCATTTTAATTAAAAAAAAAATCCATGTTTTTTTTTTAACATAAAAACAAAAAAGGTGATCCTGAGGTCGAGAGTTCGAGCCTCTCTCACTCCAACATCATTTTGTATTCATTTGTTTAAAAAAATTAACCTTCTTATGATACGAATAGTTGGGAAAAGCCTCTCTCTTCTATTTGCGAATCAAATGCACGTGGAAAACCCAATATAAATCAAAATAGCACAAGAGATTTGATGCACTGGAAGGAGACAATAAATAAAACAAGCATAAGACCACGACTTTTTTCTTCCAAAACCTTTCTAAGATGAAAATCAAATTCCAAACCCAATTTTGTTAATCATGGGCGGTAATTAGGTAGGGTCAACCTACTGATCTGGTGAGTCGATCAGACCTTGCTACGGTTGTGGACCCACCATGGTCACGTCCGCACCACTTGATTTGGACCTGATCAGATTGCGGTCCAGCCAGATCTAACTGGGATGGTTCTGGTCCAGGTTAGGGTTCACTCGACCGATCTGACCTGGTATATACTCATATATAACATATTATGTAGAATTATACATAATATGTATTACTATATTTTATAAAATATACATAATATATTTATATATTTATTTTATATCTTGACCTAGATCCGCTAATCTAGGTTGGGTTGGGGTACTACCTGGACCCTATTGGGTCACAACTGGGCGGGGGTGGATCGCAACCCCAACCATTTGCAGTCTTAACAATCCATGGTGCACTAATACGTTTATAAAGCCTTCTCAAACCGATTTGGGTGAGAGAATACTTCTACCGGTTTCACAAGTAAAACCTAAGCATCTGATTTTTGTTGGATATGGTGATATCCAAAAATCACCAACATAAGGAAATCCCAGATTATGTGGGATTGAGATTGATATTGACAAGTGTCCTAAAGGAAATAGAAATCCAAAACGATTAGGACCCTGAGATATATCTTTTGGTTCTTGAGATATATGTAACAGGAAGTTTCCTACTTAGCGTGGAGTCCTAAGCTTATATATATGGGTTGAAAGATGAAAGACTAGGTGTGCCCTATTTGGGTCACCATATGGGAAAGGTGGTTTCCTCTAGAGAGAGAGAGGTAGGAGCTCCCTGTGCATGAGGCAAGGCCTCCCATTAGAGAGAAGAGAGCTATGAAGAGAAACACCACGATGTACTTCCTGCAGAGTGAGAGGCTGGTTTCTTGTAGAGAAGCAGTTTCCATGAAGATTTTGGGTGGTTTCTCCATTTAGTGAGAGAAAGTCTCCCTTGCCCTCAAGGGTCTCTTCCTGGACAGTGGTTTAGTAGTGGAATAGAGATGGGTCTCTTCCTGGACAATGGTTTAGCTGTGGTATAGTGATGAGCCTCTTCCTAGACAGTGGTTTAGCGGTGGAATAGAGATGAGAGATCAGATGGTGGTGTCGGTCGGGAAAGCGGGTCTAAAAGGGTATGCTCGTAGAGAAGCAGTTCCCACGAAGATTTTGGGTGATTTCCCCTTTTAGTGAGAGAAAGTCTCCCTTGCTCTCAAGGGTCTCTTCCTGGACAATGGTTTGACTGGGGAATAGAGATGGGTCTCTTCCTAGACAGTGGTTTAGCTCTGGAATAGAGATGAATCTCTTCTTGGACAGTGGTTTAGCTGTGTGTGGAATAGAGATGAGAGGTCGGAAGGTGGTGCAGATCAAGAGAGCGGGTCTAAAAGGGTTTGCTCGATTGGGTTTTGTCGAGGGTTAGAGAGGTAACTCTATGTCCGAAAATCTGTAATGTAACTTTCATTAGTATAGTGGATTTTAGTTTGTCGTGCCCGTGGATGTAGCCCTTTTGGGGTGAACCACGTAAATTTTTGTGTTCTTATGGTGTAAGTGTTTTATGCTTTATTTCTCTTATTATGGCTCATACTCTCGCCTATTTTGTTTCTAGCTGGATAAATACACGATCTTGGTGGAATCCAACTTTTGGGATTTCTGTTTTCGCATCGAAGAGGCTTATTAAATCCTAACAATTTCTTCTTTTTTGTCTGAAAAGCCTCAAGCTACAAGCACATAAAGACACCTTCTAAATGTGATTAATTTGAAGCTAAAACAAGCTCTTGTTCAACAAGATCTCTCTTATGGGCATCCATAGGTCTAGAGCTTTCACCATGTTGTGCATGGGAATGAGAGAGAAAAGGGGTTTGTTGACTTCATTCCCCTCTTCTTTCCTTCAAAATTCCATCTACCCCTTTTCCTTCTAGCAAGTAGTAAAGTGAAAAATACCACTATGAAGTTATAAAGACCTTCACATGTGAGAAAGATCCCTAGAAAATACCTTTCGAAGGTCTACTACTTAACCGCTGTCTTGGATTTCTACATAAATATGGTGGGACATATCCTCATGAGAGCGGATATGTAACAAATTACCTGCCAAACTCACTAGGAGGGTTCCCTTCTCCAACTTAATGTATTTGATGGTCCGTTAGCATACCTCCTCATCAAGTTTCTACAAGGCTGGAAGCTTTTTCACTGACATGGACCATGTCTTCATACCATGCACCTTTCTTGAAGAGCTTTGTTTGGCAATCAACTTGTATGTGGCTTGCTAACTGGTTTAGGCTCCATTTGCAAGGTAAAATGAAAAAGGGTCTAGACCCCTTTTTGAAATTAATGTTAAATACCACCTTTCAACAGCATTTTACATGATACAGTGGCTTAGTTTGGGGGCTACTAAACCCATGGTGTTGACCACCTTAGAAAAATAAGGTGTTAGAACAATGTTTTTAAGCATTTCCAAATGCACTATTAGCTATCACATGAACCCATCATCTTCATCCTTCAACTTTAAAATTGTTTCACCTTCAAGATTTTTATTGTCGTTTGGTAACCATGCCAATATATAAGTGCAGTAACTATTCAGGGGAACTCCTTCCCTCTTGCTTATCTTTCTTCTGGTCACCCTTTTTAATAGTTTTAATAGTCTAGCTCAACAAAAGGGGTGACAACTCTTTTAAAGGAGGTCACTATTCCGCCCTTCATCATCTTGAAGGGGATCACCCTTGAGGCCTTGAACTCACTTTTTCCCTATGATCTTCTTGCTCATGTGGCTAGATCACCTAGGTTCCAGATCTAAGAAGTAAAATGATGACCTTTAGCCACCAGAAGTACACCCTTTGTCAACTTCTACCATGCTTTACTAAAGTTGGTACAACAAACTTGGCATCTAGTTCTCCTGTACTTCATTCCAAGATCCAAAACATGCCATAGCCCTCATGAGTCTAAATGGGGCTTTGTTGAGCAATCATTCTCATGAGGGTGGGCCCCTTATATTTAAGTGGAAGAGTATAGCACAATCCAAGACATAGATTGAGCAGTCAACTTTGGAAAAGTTTCTATTGGGACTTCATTTATATGAGGACTTCTTCACTCTACTCTTTGGTGAAAGGTGAAACTAAGTAAACAACTCTTTCTGGACAGAAAAGAAGGGAGTGAGCATCATCGATCAAAAAATAAAAAATAAAAAGAAAAGGAAAAGATAATCTTCTCTCTCTCATTCTTAGTTGCAAGGTTCAGTGTAAACTGTAGATCTGTGAGTGAGGAATACGAAGGGGACTGTTTTTTAAAGTGGAAATTCTTCACTCTACTCTTTGGTGAAAGATGAAACTAAGTAAACAACTCTTTCTCAAGGAAAGAAAACGAGGGAGTGAGCATCATCGATCAAAAAATAAAATAAAAAATAAAAAGAAAAGGAAATGACAATCTTCTCTCTCTCATTCTTAGTTGCAAGGTTCAGTGGAAACTATAGATCTGTGAGGACTGAGGAATACGAAAGGGGACTGTTTTTCAAAGTGGAAGCTAGGTTTGTTTGGCGTCGCATTCTTTGACTGTAGAAGAAATATTTTTCTAGCCTCTTTTTCAAGGTGATAAAATATGTCTACCAGTTTGTAAGGCAACCTTAAACATCCAATTTTTTTCTTTGTTGAACTCCACAAGAAATAATACTAACCTGTTTGAGAATGAAAAGGCCTGTTATTGCATGGTAGATGGTCGGAGTTTGACATGTTGTTTTAGAA